ATCCCTTCCGGATGGACTTGTTTTACCCCATACCCTTCATGTTCCCAAACTTCCTATTAACTTGTTGTCCATTAGTAGTATTACTCAATCCCTAAACTATTGTTTAACCTTTTTTCCTTGTTCTTGTATTTTTCAGGATTTAGGCCTCCAGGAGGACAATTGGTAAAGGAGATATGGTTGATGGCCTCTACATCTTGGAGAATAAAGCTGGTCCTACGACCTCAGCTCTTGTGAGTCTTACGAGTGAGCCAGTGAATCAATCTACTAAAAGTCAAGTATGGTTATGGCATAATCGCCTTGGTCATTTGTCCTTTGAGTCTTTGAATGTTGTGTTTCCTGAACTATTTAAGTTTGTGTCTATCATTGGATTGCAATGTCAAACATGTCAATTGATTAAGCATTGTAGAACAAATTTAATATATACATATATTTGTTTTGCCTTCCAATGTTGTGTTTTCTGATGTTTGAGCCAATGAACATACCCAATGAGGGCGGATAGAAGTACTTTATCAGTTTCATTGATGATTATTCCATATATACTTGGATATATCCTATGCATTCTAGAGAAGAGGTATCCGAAATTGTGAAATATATTCATCGCATGGTTTCTACTCAATTCCATGTTGAAGTACAAATTTTCCAATCAGATAATGCGAAAGAATACTTTCATCGTGGCTTGGCTGAACTTTTACATCTCATGGATCTCTTCATCGAAGCTCTCGTGCCAAAACACCGCAACAAAATGGTGTTGTAGAAAAGAAGAACCAATATCTTCTTGAAGTTGCTCGTAGTATGATGTTACAAATGAATGTTCCCAAGCGATTCTGGGTTGATGTTGTAATAGTCGTGACTTGTGTTATCAGTCGCATGCCATCATGTTTCTTACAATATAAGGCCCCACATCAGTTCCAATTTCCTCAGTTTTCTATTCCTTTACACATGTTTGGATCATTGGATGTAAATGCTTTGTTCATGATTTGTCTCCAAACCGGGGTAAGTTGGACACCAAGTCTATCCCATGATTTTTTTGGGTTACCCATCCTCCCAGAAGGGCTATAAATGCTTTAATCCTATCACACATAGGTACTTTGTATCGATGGATGTGTCATTTTTTGAGTCTAAACCTTTCTTCCAAGTCTCTCTTCAGGGGGAGAATAGTATGGAGGAGGAGAGGCAAGTTCCTCAAGTTCCTCTCCCTTTTATTCCTGACTCTTCTCCATTCTGTGCTTTCCTAAGGTGCCGTAAGGGACAGCTAAGTTCAAAGGGTGTGGAGCAGCCAGAAACTATGCATCCAACATCATCTGACTCCTTGGAGGCAGATCCAAGTATCCTCGTTCCCTTTCATGTTACTGAGCCAATTGCCATTGATGATTCTACCAATGATCTTGATGTCCAAATTGCTCATAGGAAACGTGTTAGATGGTGTACCACTAAGCACCCTATTGCCCATTTCTTATCCTATGTAAACATCTCACCCTCATTTCGTGCTTTTCTAACTACCATTGATTGTGTCTCCATTCCCAAGTGTTGTAGAAGCCTTATCTATACCCGAATGAACATATGCAATGAAGGAAGAGATTTGTGCTCTACACAAAAAACAACACCTAGGAGTTGGTGGATCTTCCTAAAGGCAAGGAGCTAGTCGAGTGTAAGTGGGTATTCACAGTGAAGCACAAGGCAAATGGAACAATTGAGACGTATAAGGCCAGATTAGTTAAAAAAGGGTACACACAGGTGTATGGGGTTGATTATGCAGAAACATTTGCTCCAATTGCTAAAATGAACACTATTCGGATCATGTTATTCTTGGCCGTTAACTTTGATTGGGAGCTTCACAAACTGAATATTAAGAATGCTTTCTTGAATGGAGATCCAGAAGAAGAAGTATATATGATGGCTGCCTCCTGGGTTTATAGCACAAGGGTGTGGAGAAAGTTTGCAAACTAAAAAAAAAATCCCTATATGGGTTGAAGCAATCCCTTAGGGCTTGGTTCAGCAAATTTCACATGGCTCTTCAACAAATTGGGTTCATGCAGTGCCAGTCTAACCACACTCTATTTGTCAAAAGGAACCAAAAAAATGTTGTGGTCCTGATTGTGTATGTAGATGACATAGTAATTACAGGGAACTGGGACTTAAGATTCAAAAGGTCAAAGAATCCCTAGCTGTGTAGTTTGAATTTAAGGATTTGAGACAATTGTGTTATTTCCTTGGAATTGAGGTTGTCCACTCTCAAAAGGGCATCTTCATTTCTCAAAGGAAATATATCCTAGATCTCTTACAAGATATAGGAAAGTTGGGAGCAAAGCTTATAGATTCTCCTATTGATGAAAACCAAACTGGTGATTGTACTAGAGAGCCTGTGACAGATGTCAAGATGTTTTAAAGGTTGGTAGGAAGACTTCTCTACTTATCAATGACTCGACCAAATATAGCATATGTTGTTGGTGTCCTCAATTAATTTATGCATGCTCCAAGAATTTCCCATTTAAAGGAAACAAAGAGGGTTCTCAAATATCTGAAGAAGTATCCAAGGACTAGCATATCATTCAAGAAATATGATCATATGAAAGTGAAGTTTACACAGACGCAGATTGAGCCGGCACAGTTGATGATAGGAAACCGACTAGTGGATACTGCACCTTTGTTGGTAGAAATTTAGTCACTTGGAGGAGCAAAAAGCAAAGTGTAGTGAACAGATCTAGTGCTGAAACTGAGTATAGGGCTAATGGCTCATGGTGTTGCCGAAGTGCTCTAGGTAAAACTGAGTATTGGGCTTTTAATTGGTAAACAAGGCAGGCATTAATATTGCGACCAACCCAATTCTTCATGACAAGACCAAGCATATTGAAGTTGACAAGCATTTCATAAGAGAAAAACTTGAAAAGGGAGAAGTTTGTACTCCTTATGTCAGTTCCAAGGAACAACTAGCAGATGTCCTTTCAAAGGGTCTTCACTATTTATGGCATAATGAGTTGTATGACAAGTTGGGCATGATTGAAATATATGCTCCAACTTAAGGGGGAGTGTTGTAATATGTTACTAGCGTAGGGGTATTTCTCATATTTCCCCTTTCTATTTGTTATAAGTTGTCGCCCTAAGTATAAATGCCAACTTAGGTGCCGCCAGCTACAACTTTTGGAATAGAACACTTCTCTTCTTCTTCCGCCTTCTCTTCTCTTCTTTTTTTATTCTGTCTTTTCTTCCTTTATTCTATTTTTTCCCTTGTTGGATTACATAGTTAAAGGAGTTTGAGGGAAGCCAGTTCCCCCAAGGATGGAGGCTTTTGCTTGGCTCATTTCAATAGGAAGTATCCTGACTCAAGACAATATGAAAAAGAAAGGCCATCAGTTTCCAAGTAGATGCCCGTTTGTTTGTCAAAAGAGGAGTCTATTCTTCACCTTCTGATTCATTGCAGTTACATTAGGAGTATTTGGACCTATTTTTTCAAGTTGTTCAACATGATTGGATGGGATCCTAATGACTACATGGAGATTTTTGGATGTTGGCCGAGGGTACATGGAAGCATCAAATCAAAAATCATTTCGTGGGCCTACTTTCTCAAGCTGTTTAACATGGATGGATGAGATCCTAGTGACTACATGGAGATTTTTGGATGTTGGCCGAGGGTACATGGAAGCATCAAATCAAAAATCATTTGGACCTGTGTTCCATTTGTTGTATGTTGGGAAGTCTAGAAAGAAAGAAATAAGAGAATTTTTTAAGGCAAATCAAGAAGCAATAGAGAGTTAGAGGCTGTCATCAGTTCAAGGATTGTAGGGTGGGTCTTAGTTCTGCCAGAATTCAAAGGTAGTGTGGATGAGAATTTTTTAAGGCAAAGCAAACTTTGAGATGACTTATGGAACACTTTGAATGTATAAGTCTAAGGGTGTTCTGTAGTGTGGATGAGAAATTTGTGGGTGTGGATTGGTCCACACCACACCACAATCCACAGCTGTTCTGAACTATGGATAGATTGTGTGGACCAAACTAGTCCACACCCACAGTGGCATTCTGTAGGTGTGGGAGACCTACACAGTCAATCATAAATGTCTAATTTTTGCATTTTATATGGTAAATAAATTGAAAAAAGGCATCAATAAATTAATATGTAGGCAACAATTGCATTTTTTAAATAATTAAAAATATTATTTTAAATATTATTTTATTCATAAAATATTAAAAATTTAATATTTAAATAATGAAAAAAGAGTGGAGAAGGAGAACTGTCAGACTTGTGCTAGAATTAACATTAAAAATTATTATTTTATTGATAAAATATTAAAATTTAAAAATTATTACAAGATTAAATAAAATGAGTAATTAGACCAATGTAACACAAGTGTGTTACACTGAAACCTTCCCACAAACGCTCCACACCATAGTGTGGACCATCCACGAGAAAATACTGTGGACAATAAATTGGGGTTTGGCCCATCCCTGCCCGTGCTATTTTGTGGACGGGGACCGTCCACACATAGCAGAACACCATATCTTACCATGGATAAGACCAAAACAGTCCTATCCACGATATTTACACACTACTGAATGCCACCAAAGTTGTAATTTTTGTTTTTTCTCTGCTTTTGTTTTTGTAAGAGTCGAGGTGACTTCTTGTCACCAAATCATTGTACTTTCTTCCTAATTAAATATTTTTTTTCTTTATTAATCTTAAAAAAAATAAGTGATGGCACCATTCTATTGCTATTTATAGGGCAGTCATAATAAGATGTAAAATGACAAATATACCCCTACACCCGACAGTACAAGAAATAACATATATTTTAGCAAGATACAATGATGACAACTAACAAGAGCAAAGAAAAATGAACAAAGTAGGAAAATTTTCAATATTACCAATAATCACCACAAGAGCATATTCCATCCCTAAAGTAATGGAAACGATTTGCATCCCTCAATACAATTTCACGTCTAGTAACCTTTGATATATATTTTATTGCATTATGGCAATCCCCACATACCCGAAGGTTTTTAATTACCCGAATAGTTGTAGCTGGTGGAGTACTTATGAGCCCATAAGCTATGGCCAACTTCTCGCTATGATAGTAAAGAGAACGCTCTTTTTCCTCTTCTTCCACATCAAGCAATACAAAATCTGTATCAGGTACATATCCTTCCTCCCTTATCATACTTAACAAGTCCTCTACCTTAACATATATTTCATCTGTTTGTGGGTGTGACCTATCATCCACTACAAACAAATGAATTATGTTCTTCACATCGATCCAGCTATAGCCAGGATCTTTCTTAACATTCCTCATCTTCATCATCTTCCTAGCATCAACAACCTCATCCCAACGGTTGGCAGATGCACAAATATTTGAGAGAAGAACATAAGCTGAAGAATCAGATGGTTCCAAAACCAAGAGTTGAGTTGCCACCCGCTTTCCAGTTTCTGCATCCCCTCTAACCCTACAAGCACTGAGCAGGGTTCTATACATTGATGCAGAAGCATCAAAGGGCACTGTTTCAATCAGCTTTTCAGCTTCTTTTACAAGCCCTGCTCGACCAAGTGCATCAACCAAGCAGGAATAATGCTCAACTTCTGGTTTGATACCATATCTTTTATACATCAAATCAAAGTATTCATAAGCTTCAGAAACTAATCCTGAATGACTGCAAGCTGAAAGGACTCCAATAAAGGTGATTGAATCAGGTTTGACACCATCATGAATCATCTCTCTGAAAAGATCCAAAGTTTCTTCACCATTACCATGTTGTGCTAAACCCACTACCATGGCATTCCATGAGACAATGTTCTTTACATGCATCCTCTTAAATAACTTGTATGAATCTTCAATGCTCCCACACTTTGCATACATATCTATCATTGAAGTCCCAACAAAAGAATCAGAAACATACTCAGACTTTACTATGTTTGCATGAATTTGCCTCCCTTGTTCTAAAGCAGTTGAGTAAGAACAGGCTTTGATGAGTGTTGCAAAGGTATATTCATCAGATGGGATCCCAGAGCGCCTCATCTTCTGGTAGAGCAAGAAAGCACGACCCTCATCTCCATTATCCACACATCCTGAGATCATGGCTGTCCATGCAACATCATCAGGCTCAGAGATACCATCAAAAACTACAAATGCACTCCCAATGTCACCACATTTAATATACATGTCAAGAATCCCACTACTGACACATAGATTCAATTCAAAACCAACCTTTATTACATGGGCATGAATTTGTTTCCCTTGTTCTAAAGAGACCAAGCAACCACAGGCATTAATTGCAGTTGCTAATGTGAACTGGTCTGACTTCTTTCCATCCTTGTGCATTAGAGAAAAGAGATCCAATGCTTTGAAGCCATCGTTATTAGCAATATAACCAGACATCATCACATTCAAAGAAGCTAAATCAAATCTGTCAGTATTATTAAAAAGAAGTTCTGCTTCTTTCATGTATCCACTCTTTGCATAAACATCAATAAGTGCAGTTAAAACAAAAGCATGCTCTATTTTACCAGTTTTTACTGTGTGAACATGAATTTGTTTGGCAAGAGAGAAGCATTCTGGGGTTGCAGAACAGGCACGCAGAACACTTGCCAATGTAAATTGATCTGGTCTAAGGCCCTCACGTAATAGACCCAAGAAGAGGTTGAGCGACTCTTCTCCCAAACCTTTTTGCGCATAACTTGATATCATTGAATTCCATGAAACTAAATCCAATTCTTTCATGTCATTAAAAATTCCCCATGCATAATCTAAGAAGCCCATCTTTGCATACATGTTAATGAGACAGTTTCTGACAGAAACATCTGAATCAAAACCTGTTTTAACAACCATGCCATGAATTTGCTGACCTAAGTTCAGATCGCTTGCATCAGTGACAGCACCAAGGGTCACAATGAATGTCACATTATCATTAGCTACACCGGACTTGTTCATCTCCTTAAAGCATTGAACAGCCTCCCAATAACCACCGGCTTGGGAATGCTGAGAAATGGTTTTATTCCACATAATTACATCTGAATTATCATCAAAAAGGCACATTTTAATTCCATAAGCTTGTATCTGCTCCACAATCTTCTTAATTTCAGTAGAATTAACTTCAGAAACCTCGTTAAGAACACAATGCATGCTGATGTCATCCGGACGTAATCCACTACGATGAAATTCTGAAAATAACGTCAATGCCTCTTCTTGTAAACCTGACTGTACATAAGCTTTAAGCATGACATTCCACAGCACAACATCTCTGTCCAGCACCCCATCAAACAAAACACGCGCATCTCTAACTCGTCCAAACTTTGAATAGGTACTCACCAAAGCTCCTGAGACGAAGAGATCCCATTCGAGACCAATTTTTACTGAATAACCGTGAACAGCTTCCGAAGCGCAGACAAGTCCCGAGTGTAAGCACAATTTAAGAACTGGCGCTAAAGTGAGTTTGCTTGGAAGAACAGCAGACTTGCGCATAAGACGGAAAAGATGGAACCCCTCTTCGATACTATCATAGCCGAATTCAGACGCAAGCGCGTATCCAGCTAGAATAGAATTCCAAGTGATAAGGTCTCGTCCGGGACTTTGGTCGAAGAGGTGGCGAGCGTAGGATAGAGAACCACATTTGCAATACATATTGATTAGGTTGTTGATGAGGAAACGGTCGCCGTCGTGGCGGGATCTTATGATACGCGCGTGCGTGCATTTTCCGAGGCGCAAGTCGTTTCGGGCAATGGAGGTTCGAAGGAGGGGAAACCATGGAAAGGATGCTGAGGCGTCGGTGGAGAGATGACAGAAATTGGAGCTAATAAATAGCCGAAAGAAATGTGTGAAGAATGCTGATGAAAGCGTGACACGGTGGTGTCGGAGGTGGCTTTGCAATCGCATGTCGTCGGGGGACCATGTTTTCCCTCTTCTACTACAGAGACCAGAGTTCAAATTTCGCCATTAAACAGACAGACACAGTCCGATAGGAATTTGAGATGATGTAGAAATGGGCGATGTTCATCAATCCCAGCCGTCCTTCTGAATTGAACATCGTGTTATCAGCCCTGTTTGGGAGTGTTTATTTGAAAAAATAAGTGATTATTGAATAAATGGTAAAAAATAAGTGATTTTTGCCGTCCTTCTGAATTGAACATCATGTTATCAGCCTTGGGAGTGTTTATTTGAAAAAATAAGTGATTATTGAATAAGTGGTCAAAAATAAGTGATTTTTCTAATAAACACTTATGAGCATTTGGCAAAAAAATCACTTACTTAAAACAGAGGTAATATAGGTATTTTGAAAATGACATGGTGGACCAAAAAGGAAATATGCACTTCTTGAATAAGTATGTAATGACACGTAAAGTGTGAATTTTGGACTTCTCAAATAAGTGTTTTTTTCTCAGAATAAGCACTTATTTTTGAATTTATTTTCCAAATACAAATAAGTGTTTATTGGTGTAATCCAATCCAAAATAGGTGCTTATTCAAATGAATATTTATTTTTAAGCATTCCCAAACTTGGCCTAGCCTTATATTGTTCCATCATACCATCCATGTAAGGCATAATCCAATGTGTTGCAAAAGCAATGATGGTTAGAGTGTAAATCAATTGTAAACTATGCACCATACAAGGCAAATTGGCAAGTAAATAAAATCTAGTAAAGCAAGTATCTCATAAGAGTCTATATAGAAAACAACTACCACATCACCAAGCATTCACTTCAATTGTAGGAATTGATGCCATCAATTAGTGGTGAAAATGGTTAGGTTCAGTTCAACTTCATGGTAGAACCTGGATCTTGGTCAAGAAACAACATAAAAACAATCCCAAACAGACAAACAAAGACCAAAAAAAAAACTAAGTAAGCACCATCCTGGACTGACAGTAAAACAGGGTCAGTTCCATGTTTTTAGAATTGGAACTTACCCTATAAAAGTTGGTTTCAAGGTTGATTATGGCCTCGGTGGTTCTCAAGTTTATTCATGTTCTTTAAAAATTCATTTTCAATAAATATAATATATAATTTAGCACATATTATTGTATAACTTCATATGTAGATTATCATGATATATTAATATATTGTTCAAAAATTTATTATTATAGTTTAAATTTTGGGGTCCATCTATAAAGGATTAATATTAGAGAAAATTGTGAATTAGTACCCCTGTACTTTAGGCATAGCTTCACTTTTATTTCTGAACTTTAAAACGTGTCAATCCAGTACCTAAACTTTCAAAACATGTCAATTTAGTACAAATCCGTTAATCACCATTAAAGTGGCATGAGAAAGGATGTAATGCCCTTGAGTGTCATCTAATTTTCTTTATCAATCATAAGAACTAGTTTTCCTGCTATTGCCTTTCCGGACAGATCAAAACTCATATCCCACTATCAAACTTGTGTCCCTTGAAGACTCTTTTCCATAGGTTCATGTGAAGAACGTTTGCCATGTGAGAAACACTTGCCATTTCTTCTCCTTTGGCCGTTGTAGAAACCCAAGAATGAAACACAGCAGTGAGACTTCTTCTCCCAAGGTCGTATCGTATCGGTACTTAGAAACGGCCAAAACTTTATTTATTTTTTTTTTGTTTTTTTTTTTCGCATTTTGTTTTTCTAGAAAGATTTTAACATGCTTTTTATTATTAAAAAAATCAGGGGTCCGAAACACCTGAAAATAGGCATTTCAGACCGTATCTTTTTCAAAAGATACGATACGATACGCACCGTTGTATCGATACTTTGAACCATGTCTTCTCCTTTGGCCGAGTGATGTTGCAGACAACTTGCCAACTTGCATTGGCTGAGCCTGTCCGTTGAAGCCCGTTTGGGTCTAGAAATTCTGTTGGGCTTACTCTAATAGGAGGCCCACACTTGTAATCTGGGTTGAGAATTCCATTGAAAGCATATTATGGCAAATTTAATCTCTTTTTGTCTGCAATCCAAACACATAAGCCAGATCAAGAATTTAGCTGTATCAGCTACTACCCTGTTGGTTTTCTCCAGTATCTCAGTCTTACTCCTCCGACCCCAGCTGAATCAATAGCAAAAACCATAGATTTTTGAACTCTAACCCCTTGAGCGAGATATTCACGCATGTCAATTGGTATGTTTGCGCTTTACAGCCAATAAAAGAGGAGAGATTAACGATGATCGGACTCGTCCATGTGTCCCACTCATCTCATGTCGTAAAACTCGCTTCCTATTGTCAGGATTCAGGTGCAACTGCAAAGATCACGTGGATAATCTATACCGTCCATCAGATCAAATGATTCATCTGGGATTCTGACGATTGGCCTTTTAGCATCCAAAGTTTCATACTTTGGAGATCAGAAATATGATTCTTGAGATAGTTTTGCTAAACGGAAGCAGGACACGAAGCGCGAGTACATCAACAGAAGCAGAACACGACACACATGATGAATAATGTCTTAATTTACGAAGAAGAAGATGATGAAGGATGTTTCAGAGGGTACTTTTTTGTTTTCTTTTTCTTTCTGTTTAATTTCTTTTGTTGCTATGTTCGTTTGCTCTTTGTTTCGTTTGTTTTCTGTTGAGTTTTTCTTTTCGTTCTGTTCGTTTGCCCTCTGTTTAATTTTTTTTCTGTTTCTCTCTTCGTTCTGTTCGTATGCCCTCTGTTCGTTCTATTCGTTTTGTTCTTTGTTTGTTCTCCTTTAAGTTCTCCCCTATTCCTTTCTGTTCTCCCCAGGTTCTCATCTGTCAGTCTGTTCGATCTTTCTGCGAGCATTTTGATTGGGAGTTTCTTCTCTAGAATCCTTTCTGCATTAACCACTGGTGGAAGCTGCCACTTGCATTGCTGTTCCTAGCGTTTTGGAAGGTAGCTTTAGTTCTCCCGAGTCCAGGCTTCCGGTGTGCAGTTATAGTTCTGGTTTCTTTGCGGATTGGTTCCGAATGGGCGGAAGTTACAGATCTTGGCTTATGGATTTGGAAACCTGCCCTATCAGTTATGTTTGCCAGTTATGGTGGTTTGGAGATGTATTTATCCACTGTTGGTGATTTTAAGTCACTTTGCTTCAATTGCAGACTGTAAAATATTTCAAATCACTTTTTAACATCTCTTTGTATCAATCTCTTGAATGAATAAAATATTTTAAGACTTAAAAAAAATTAAGTAGTATATGTCACCACGTGATACAAATAATGGTGATTGGTTAATTGTAGTTATTAAATTAGCACGTTTTGAAAGTTTAAATATTGAATTGACACATTTTAAAGTTCAGGAAAGAAGTAAGATTAGGTTCAAAGTACAAAATACAAAATACTAATCTACAATTTTTCCTTATTAAATTGGGTCAGATTAAACCAATAATTGGTCCATTGAAAGAAGATAACAGTACATGTGTCAATGGACCAGGTTTTGGGTTGTAACCAATCTAAATTAAAGTCAATTTAAACAGATTGGTCTGTCTATACATTGAATTAGATCAATCCAAAATGGTCCAAAGTATTCATCAAATTGGATAGGACCTGATCCATCTATAATGGACTCATATTGAACCAAGTCGGATTGGACCAAATCCAATCCAATTAACACCACCTATATGGTGGGATCTTAAAGAATTTTTATTTTTAAAATGATTTTGCATTTTAAGTTTGCAATGGGGGATCCTCGTTGAAATTGCATCTTAATTGAGGAGGGAGAAAAGTTCAGGCACATCATATCCTCAAAATCAATGAGAGAGCCTAAAATTTATCATGTTAAGGAGGCCTCTCTTAAGATCCTAATTGCAATGGGTTTTTGGAACTCATTATGCCATTCAAGCATAGCCCCAATGGGCCGTCCTCATTGGATCTAGCTAGAGAATTTGGATTCGGATTCGTTCCTCTAGAACGTGCCTCACACCAACCTTCACATGAATTTTAACGGGAGATATTCTCAATGCATAACTGTGATGCACTGTGAGGTCGGTGTGAAGCAAATCAAATCTCTTAGCTAGAATTGAGTTCTAAGTGATTATAGGTCTCAATTGGAACTTTGCTCTAAGATGTGGCAAGTATAGGATAAGGGGACAAATTTGAATTACATTACATGTCAATTAGGTTGTTGATGAGGAATCTACACTTGTTCATGGCTCAACTTTACACTGCTTCAGGTTTGGGTCCATTCAAAATTTTGGCAAAACAAGAGGAAATGGTCGCCATCCAGGACCTTATGTTCAGTACATTTGTGCATTTGTGAAGGTGCAAGTTGTTTCACACAGTGGAGTCTGGATCTAGTTGGCACAATATTACATGGTTTTTAAAACTGAATTGGTGACCAAATCGGTCAGGGCACCATTTTCTGGTTTGATGGTTCAACTATTCGGGTCAAACAGTTTGACCTGTGATGTCATAAATAAATGAAAAACAAAAAATATTTATATATAATAAAAAATATCATCAAAATTTAGATAAAATACAAAAAATACAGGAAAAAGAACAAAATATGAAAAAATAAAAATATCTAAATAATAAAATACAGAAAATATAGAAAAAATTCTAAAAAATACAGAAATTTTTTCAAAAAATATAGAAAATTTTCCAAAAAATATGTAAGCAAGAACATGTAATGAACTTCCCTCTATAATTCTATCAGTATAGAGGGAAGTTCAAACACTCTGTACCCATCTCTTGGCATTCATATCTCTATGTATAGTGGCTCTGGCAGTATTTGAGGAGGGCAATGTGACCTCTACACTGTTTTCTATACAATACAAACTGAATTAGTAGAGTGTGCATTCACAGTCAAGCAAGCGCGAGAGAATCTCTTCACAGCTAGGTCGTTCATTCGGTTCTGCCCAACAATCTGCAGTTATACAAGGTGAGCTTCCCATTCAATTGTCACCAACGATAAATCCGGCATCAAATTTATAATCTAATACATACTTGCAATCAACTTGCCCAGGGACCTTCAGGAATTTCTAGCCGCGATCCCTCATTAGCAACTGCATAGGCTACCTGAATCATTGCACACAAATCAATGTTGGAGGGTCCTATGTTTCCTTTTGCAACATAGAAAGCAAACATATTCTATGCCCTACTTATCACACCCA